CCTGACCCTCAAACCCGCCCGAACCTGACCTTCTGACCACCGACCCTCGGCTCCAGCGGGACCCTGACCTCAGTTGCCCATCCTGACCTTCCCCTGCTCGTCAGCCTTGACGCTAGACGTTAGCCTCATTCCTTACATAGCACTCCCAAGCCCATCCTGGTCCCTCCAGACGCCCTGACCCAGGTGTGCGGGCACAGGCCTGCGACCCCAGTTTCCCACCCTCCCTGCAGAACGACCCCAATCGCACCTTGACTGGGCTCTGAACTTGCAGCCCCCTCCCCCCATCACCCAGACCTTACTGCCAGGCTCGCATCCTCCTGGTCCATTCATGTCTCGGGTAGACAGCCTGGGCTTCAAACAGGCTCCTGGAGCAGAGAACTTCCCCGAGGGGTCGGCTCGGGGTGACCCACAACCCAACCCCTCCGCGTCTACAGTCAGGGCGCCCAGAGGCTCCCAAGTCCTCCACCAACCGCCTCCCACCCAGGATTTCCCAACCTCTGATTGGCGCCGGGCCCCATCCTCCCCATTCCAGGTCATCTAGTGCCCCTACCTGGTGAGAGTGAAAGTCGCTCAGTCGTGTCCTACTCTGTGACCCCGTGGACTATACAGTCCATGGAATTCTGCAGGCCAGAATACTGGAGTGGGTAACTGTTTCCTTCTCCAGCGGGTCTTCCCAACCCAGGGATCAAACCCAGGTCTCCCACATTGTAGGCAGATTCTTAATCAGCTGAGCCACCAGAAAAGTCCACCTGGTGAAAACCACCATCCTAAACCCTTAGCACGGTGGGCATCCCAGGGCTCAGGCAAGGGTCCGATGGAGGACCCAGACATTTCCATTCTGTGCTCAGGGACGCAGATCCATTGCAAGGCCAGGGAGCCGGTTCCCCGCCCCCCTCCCCCCTCCCCGACGTGAGGCCAAAAAAAATAAATACGAGATTTCCCTGCTGGTCCAGTGGTTAATATTCCACATTTCTACCACAGGGGGCACATGTTCGATATCTGTTCAGGGAACTAAGATCCTGCATGCTGCATGGAGTGGCCAAAAATAACTAACTAAATAAATTTTTTTAATGAGATTGTAGATGAGAAAGTAGATTCATAAACCCAAGTTGCTCCAAGCACACTTAAAAGTTTTCTGATAACGATAACCCTATATGCAAAACAGAAAAAGAGACTCAGATGTATAGAACAGACTTGTGGACTCTGGGAGAAGGTGAGGGTGGGAATGTTTCAAGAGAACAGCATCGAAACATGTATATTATCTAGGGTGAAACAGATCACCAGCCCAGGTTGGGTGCATGAGACAAGTGCTCGGGCCTGGTGCACTGGGAAGACCCAGAGGGATCGGATGGAGAGGGAGGTGGGAGGGGGGACCGGGATGGGGAATACATGTAAATCCATGGCTAATTCATTTCAATGTATGACAAAAACCACTGCAATGATGTAAAGTAATTAGCCTCCAACTAATAAAAATAAACGGAAAAAAAAAGTTTTCTAATAAGCAGGTCAAACATCTGTTTTCAGGTTATTTAAATTAAAGATCACATTTTAAGTGGTGAGTAGTGACGCCTGGCTGGCAGCCCTGCCTACTACAAACTCAGTAGTGATCTGAGTTTGCCCTGTGCTGCAACCTTGTAACCTCCCCCCTCATCACAGCCTGGAGCGGCAGAGCAGCGCTTCCCCCTCAAACACAGCCAGTCACCACACCACACTGAGGCTGCCAAAGTGGACATGTGGGTTGGTAGATGGGGACGGGTGTTCAGTTGGGGGCGGATGGATGCCAAGTGGATAGAAGGCTGGGTAAATGGATGGATAGTAGTGGTTGGAGGCTGGTGGCCTACGGGACAGAGTGGGTGCATAACTGTGGATGGCCAGTGCTGGGCGGGCAGACCTGAGTTGATCTCTGCCTGAGTCTGCCCACACCTGCTAAGGTCAGTTGGGGCCTGTCCTGCCCCTGTGCCCTCCTCGCGCCCTCAACTCAGCTTGGCCAGGGAACTTCAGGGCCCAGCAGGGACATTGAAGAACTGATGGAACAGCCCCGTCAGGCTCTAGAACCTTCTGTGGGGCTATGTAACAGGCGATCCTCAACCCTCACAGCCTCCATCTCCTCCCTTAGCCTCCCTGAGCCCACCCAGGCAGGAAGCCACCCAGGGAGGGGAATGAGGGTGACATCCAGGGTCCTCCAGCACCAGAGTTGAATGGGGCATCTGACGTGGGGGGGCTCCAAAGACCCAGCCCTGCCCCAGGGCTCTAGCTCACGCCAAAGAAAATCCATGAGGCCCCCAACTGACCAGTAATGCTAGCAAGGGGAGCTGGCCAGGCAGAGTACAGGGGTCCTGGGGGAACAGGTGTCTCCCGGGGCCAGGGCGCTGGCCTCTGGACACTCTGCTCAGCCAGGTCCCCCGCAGAGTCCTGAGGTCATCCTGGGGAGCGAGAAGGGGGCTAGAGTGTCGGACCTCCGGCGGTGACGGGACCCTCCATGGGAAGGAGGCTTCGTGCAGAGGCCACTGAGGACTTCCTCTGTGTAGGGGGAATGCTGGGAAGTGGGGACCAAGAGCAGGAAACCCAGGATAGGGGGTACAGCCAAACCATCAGCCCCCCTGGCAGCGGCTCCCACGGGCTCAGTCACCCAGGGGCAGAAGCAGGTGTCCCTGGAGCAGCCTAGGAGTGGGGTTCAGTCTTCCGTCCCCTCCCCCTGCTGCTGGCTCTGCTCCTCCAGGCACCTGCCCATCCCTTTCCTCCCCCACCCCTACTCTGCCTTCGGTGTCTCCGCCCTTTCCTGTCTCCCACCTCTGCCCAGACCCTTCTTGCTTTGTTGAGCCCACCTGTCCCTTTCTCATGGTGCCCTCCACTGACGCCCTGGTCATCGTGTCCCCCTTAGCACTGCCCTCTGATCGCTGCAGGCATCTTTAACCCAAGGGTTCTTTGTTCACACAGGCAGAGGCTTGGAGCTTGAGGGGCCAGGCGGTGGCGGGGTGGGGGCAACAGGCCCACGCCTTGCAAGGACCTTGGCTGCCAGGGCAGCAGGAAGCCAGGTCAGGGGCTGGGAAGAGACCCATTCACCAGGCCGGCTGCCCCCCACCCGGGTTAAGGGCCCAGCTTCCCGAGAAGGGCCCAAACCTCCGGCCTGGGGAGGGACCGCACCTTGGAGCCGCCTTCCTGTGCGGCCTTTCCCGGCACCATGAGTAGGGGGGATGGGGCCAAAGAAGCCAGACTCTGGGTTCACACACCTGGGCCCCCCGAATCTCAGCTCCCGTCCGCTGACGCCAGGCCCCCCCAGCCTGACCCTCCACCTCCCGCCCCCCAGCCTCACCCTCCACCCTTGGGCCGCCAAGCCTCAGCCTCCTTCTTCTGTCCTCAGCCCTCTACAGCCACCCCTCCTCAGCTCACCCCAGCCCCCAGCACCCCCAGCCTCAGCTCCCCCTCCCTGCCTCCAGTCCCTGATCTTGGGCCCCACGTTCTGCCTCTGACAGTTAAGATGTTGAGAAGAGGGCATTCCCTGGTGCTCCAGGGGCTAAGACTCTGTGCTCCCTGGGTTCATCCCTGGGCAGGGAACTAGATCCATCTGCTGCAACTAAAGATCCGGCAGCTTCAAGGAAGATGGAAGATGCTGAGAGCCACAACAAAGACCCCCGCACAGTCAAATAAGTTAATTAAAAAGAAAAAAAAAGATGCTGAGAACACAGATGGGCAGAGCTAGTAGTGCTTAGAAACTGGCATCTCCCAGCAGGTTCTCTTACTCTGAAGTCAGGGAAACTGAGGCACAAGTCACACCTGAAGTCAGACGAGGGTGGTGGGCAGCCAGGACCCTCCACCCTTTTCCTCCTGTGTGCCTGCTGTGCTTCGAGTCTGGGGTCACAGCACAGGGCACAGCAGACAAACGCCCCCCCCCCCCCCGCGGCCATTCCCAGTACAAGGGGGATATGACATCAGCCATTTGACCTCTCTAAGGACTTGGAGGAAGTGGGGGGGAAAGGAAGCTGGCTGGGGTGCTTCCCACTCAGGAGGCTGCGTCTGGACATAGCCCAGCAGAGAAGGCACGTGCTAAGTCCGGAGACTGGCAAGTGCCCAGGCTCCGGCCGCGGCCTGAAGTTGGGGTTTTTCCCTCTGCCACGGGGCAGCCGTGGAGTGTCTGCATGCTCAGAGAGTGTTTCTAAATCCATTCTGGTGCCCGGTAGTGAATGGCCTTGAGGAAACGCAGGACCAGGCTGAGGGTGGTCTACACAAAGGAAAGGGCTGACGGATTCAGGCGTTAGGGACACGAGGCTCTCGGGCCTGTCTGATGATTGCTGTAGGTCCCCTCCCAGGCGTCTCCTCGGAAGACGCTCCGTGGCCTCGGGCTCCCATCCCGCCTGCCCGTTAGGCGCACGGGAGACAAGCTCAGAGGTGGGTAGTGAGGTGTCCTAGGCACCGTGGGCCACAGCCCCATCACCCCCAAGAGACCCCACCACCCCCACAACATCTTCACCCCTGGGGGACCTCCCCCCGCCCCCCCGCTCCGCCAGGACCCGTCTCCGGGAGGTCCACCGCCGGGGAATCCCAGCGTGGCCGCCCCAGCTCAGAGGAGACTGCTACCCACCGCCCCCGCGCGGCCGCTCCGGGTAGTGAAGACCGAGAGTCCCGCGACGGCGCGAACCTGGCGCCAACCCCGGGCTTGGCTCCTCCGGCGTCAGCCCTCTCCTGCCTCCATCTTCCGAGGTTCCGTTTCTAAAAGCGAGGCCTGGAACCGGCCCAGGCCTTCTGCCCTCCTGTCCGACTTCGGCCGCTCCCCTACCCCGCCCGCGCACCTCTCGCCCCCAGTGCCTGCCCCTCTGTCGCCTCCAGGGTCGTTGGGGGTCAGGGTGGGAAACCCCCTTGGGAAACCCCCGAGGAGCAGCTGGAGGAGGGGAAGCGGGGTCGCGGGGTCGCGGGGCGGCGGGAAGGAGCCCGGGACGCCACTATTTAAGCCACCACTATTTAAGCCACCGCCACCGCGGGCAAGGGACAGAGCCCGGCCGAGCATGGAGCGAGGCCGCGCCCTTCTGCTTCCCCTTCTTCTGGGGCTGCTCCAGACTGGTCGCGGTGAGCTGGGAGGGGCCGCAGACTCGCGTGCGGAGGTTGGGGAGGTGATGGGGGACCCCACGTAGGGGCCTGGAAGGAGGAAGGCGGGGCTGAGACTGCGGTCACCCGCAGGTGGGCGGCTGGAAGTGGATCCACCTGAGAGCGAGGTGGCGATGGCCGTGGGCGAGTCGCGAAACTTCACCTGCCGCATGACCTGCGCGGACGGCAGGGAGGCCTCGGTGCTGTGGCGGGGCCTGGACACCAGTCTGGGCGCCGTGCAATCCGGCGCGGGCCTCAGCGTCCTGTACGTGTTCAACGCCTCGCTGTCTGCGGCGGGGACCCGTGTGTGCGTGGGCTCCTGCCGGGACGTGTCCCTCCAGCACCGCGTGCGGCTCCTGGTGTTTGGTGAGCCCCCGCCCCTCCGCCCGCCTCTGCACACGCGAGCCCTCCGTCCCTTGGCCATCTCCGCCTGGAACGCTTCCCGGATTGCCCACCACGTCCCCGCTCATAGCTCGCCTCGCAGGTCCTCCAGAGTCGCTCTGCAGTCTCCCTTCTCCGCTCATCCCTCTCCCCCATCTACCCCCGATCCTCCAGGACCTCACCCCCTGCCCTTTCTGCTCTGGACTTACTCTGACAGCTTATATTCTAGCCACACAGGCTGTCGTAGTGGGCCTCCCCTGTCCCTGTGCCCCAGCAGTCTCCAGGAACCCCAAGCCCCACCTCCACGCCCCCCTCCTCGGGGCGCAGCCCTAAACCTCCCTCCCGGCTCAGCTCACCCTCTCCTCCCCTCCCCCACAGCCTTCCCAGACCAGCTGACTGTATCCCCTGAGGCCGTAGTGCCAGGGAGGGACCAGGAGGTGACCTGCACGGCCCACAACGTCACACCGGCTGGCCCTGACACACTCTCCATGTCCCTGCTCCTGGGGGGTCGGGAACTGGAGGGAGTGGAAGACCTCCCGAACGTGACTGAAGAGCCCCAGGAAGGCGAGGACCAGCTGTTCCAAGTGACCCAGCACTGGCTGCTGCCCACCTCAGAAACCTCCAGCCTGCACACCCTCCACTGCCAGGTGACTATGAGGCTGCCTGGCCTGGAGCTGACCCGCCACCGGCCCATTCCAGGTGAGCCTGCAACCGCAGGGAAGTGAACAAGGTCATACCACCCAGCACCTGAGTCCCTGGTGAGCCCTGGGCGGCTGCCTGGCCACTCCTTGGGAGTCCTGGCTCCTCCCTGCGCCTGCTGGGTCTCCACCTGGATAGGTCCCGCACCACCAGCTGGAGGGAAAGTCACTTCCCATCCCTCGCCTGGCCCCCAGTGGCAGCCAGGGGGCTACTTCTCGCTGGTTCATTCATTCAACAGATTCGCAGCGCACCTACCCTGAGCCAAGCCCACCAAGGTGCTGCCCCTCGTCTGCCCACAGCCTCTGGGGCTCCCACCTCCCTCCAGGTGAAAATCCAAGCTGGCTGCACCCACCCACAGGGCCCTGCGCACCTGCCCTATCCCCCTCCCTTCTTCCCCTTCACTCTCACTGCTGTTCCTCCCACACTTCAGGGGCAGTGCTGCCCCAGGGCCTTTGCATCTCTGTGCCCTCCATGGGAATGCTCTTCCCTACAGCTCTGCCACCCCACTCAGGTCTCCTTCCCAATGAGGCCTGCCCTGATCTTCCTGCCCAAGAGGTCCCACCACCACCCGCCCAACACACACACACACAGGCCTCTTTTCTTCCCCTGTTGAATGTTTCTTGACACCTTTTATCAACATCCGACTTGTGTGTTCGCTTTTTTCTCCCATCATCTGTCTCCCCTCCTGTTGGTTTCACTGAGATAGGAATGTGTTCATGGCTAGAGGCCAGCGGCTAAAACAGTGCCCAGTGCATGTAGGTGTTCAGTAGATACATCCTGAATGAATGAGTGAATGAATGAATAACTGTTATCCTGGGGGCCTGGCCCATAGTAGGTGCACGATAAATGCTTGCTGAATGAAAAAATGAAAACATTTAATGTGGGGCCTGGTGCACAGTAGGTGGTCAGTTCACATCAGAGGTTACTGTTTAGTTTGCTGTCATCTGGGACAGCCCCGCCCATATCACCAAGCCTGTGGCAGCCTCTCACCAAGCCTGTGGCAGCCTCTCACCAAGCAAGCACAGACTGGTTCTCTGACAGGGCACCCCAAAACTCACGTTAATGACTGGGGGCCTGGGGGCCTGGAAGGTTTGGCTCATATTTTGTGAACTCGGGTAAGGGAAGTAGGGTGGGGTGGGAGGATATTCAGCGGTGCAGAGAGAAACTGCAGAAAGAAAACTCAGGCACATCCTTGTTCCTTAGACCGGCCCTCCCTCCCCTCCACTCCTCTCCCTAGGTGAGGGGCTCTCACGCCTCTTAACAGATTTAGACACTCGCTGGTGTGGGGGAGGCATGTCAGACCCCGAACCTGCTCCTATCCACTGGGGTACCCTGCAATTCATCCAAGTGAAGGACAGGGCTTGGAGCAGATCAGGTCCAACCACATGTTCCAGGTGGAGAGAGGGAGGTAGGGGAGGGGCCTGGGCAGCATGGAGAAAACAAATGGCTGCTGCGTTTTCCAGTCCTGCAGGGCCTGACCTCCCCGGAGCCCCCCAGCATCACCTCCTCAGAGCCCCCCACCATGACCCCCGTAGAGCCCAGCATCACAGTGTCCCTGGAGCCCACTGATACAACCACCCCAGAGCCCTTTGTCATGACGCCCCCGAAGCCCCCCATCACCACCTCCCCCGAGCTGGCCTCCATCTGCAGCCCCGCGAGTCCTGGCCCCGCACCCAGGAACAGCTCCACCAGGCCGTGCCTCCCGGAGATCCACCAGTCGTCAGCACCAGGGGCTTTGGAGCTGCTGTGCGAGGTGCCCTGCGGCCCTGGCATGGCCGTGCACTGGACCCAGGCCCCCGGCGGGCTGGAGGCCTACGAGACGCTGGAGGCAGGGGCCCAAGCTTGGCTGAGCAGCAGGAGCATGCTGTGGTCCGGGTGCCATCCTGAGGGCTGGTTCCAGTGTCGCCTGGACCCTGGGGGCCACACCGCCAACCTGTATGTGGTCCCAGAAATCTGTAAGTTTGGGGGCTGCAGGGGCCTGGGAGGGAAGGGAGCCTTGTGTCCAGGCCTTAGCCAAGGAGTGCCCTGCTAGTCCGCCTGTGTCCCCAGCTGTCTAGTGGGCTTCCCTGACCCTTTAAGGGTCACAAGTCACAGCTGCCTGCAAGGTGATAACTAGGTTTCAGGGACCCTGTAGCTATCATAGCATTTTGTAAACCCTGTAAACTCGACAGACTGAGACAGCCTGTGGAATAGAAACAGGACACAGACACATCAGTAATTTGTTTTTCTGGAAGCCACGTTCAGGAGGGGAAAAAAAGTAAAAATAAGTTTGACAATATATCATCAAACCCAATATATCTCAAATATTGTCATTTCAACATGCAGTCTATTAAGAAGCATGACTGAAGTTTGTTTTCAGACTAAGTCTTCAAATGCAATGTGTGTTTTACATGGACAGTGCTGTCCACCCAGACTGGTTACACTTCAAATGCAGCTGTGGTAAGGGGCCCCTCACTGGACTGCCCACTTTTTTTTTTTAATATTTATTTATATGGTGCTTTATTTATTTACTTGGCTGCATCTGCTCTTAGTTGCAGCTTGCAGTATCTTTAGTTGTGGCATGTGGGATCTAGTTCCCTGACCAGGTATGGAACCTGGGTCCCCTACACCGGGAGTGCAGAGGCTTAGCCACTGGACCATCAGGAAGTTCCTGGACTGCTCACTTCTAACTACAGGGTCCTATGTACCTTTCCAAAGAGTTGCTCTAAAGGCCTTTGGGGGCTTTCCTGTTGGCTCAGATGGTAAAGAATCTGCCTACAATGTAGGAGACCCAGGTTCGATCCCTGGGTCAGAAGATCCCCTGGAGAAGGGAATGGCAACCCACTCCAGCATTCTTGCCTGAAGAATTCCATGGACAGAGGAGCCTGGTGGGCTACAGTCCATGGGGTGGCAGAGTCAGACACGACTGAGTGACTAAGCACACAAAGGCCTTTGGCTAGTCCAGGGATTTTTGTAGATTTCACAAAGGTGTTTTAAACTGTTAAGTCCTTTGTACAGTTTCAGGGAACCTGACCAGTCTGTGAGACCTTAGCAAGCTCTGCCGGACTGCTCCCCAAACTCTCTCTCCAGGTTCCCCGGCAACGTCGGCTGCCCTGTGGACCAGCAGCTTGGCGCTGGGGCTCCTTCTCCTGGTGTTCCTCACCTACCACCTGAGGAAACGCTGCCAGCCCACAAGCTGATGACCTGGGCCTCACACCCCCACCCCGAGTAGACCACACAAAGGGGGACTTTTCTTCTACTCGGTTGTGACTAGAGGACGTGGGCAGCATTCTGGACAGCAGGTGGTGACCGTGGGCTCCCTACCCTGATGGCCGGCACATCCAGGCTCCCCAGCTGGCTGGGTGTCCCTTCCGTGGGTCCCAGGGGAGCAGACCCTCCACAGTGCAGAGCTGGAGAATAAAGAGCATCTAGTCTGACCTTAGTGGTTTCTGTTTTGGTCCCACGACATGGGAATCCTCCGCACAGCTCCAAGCATCCTCTGCTCTATGTGACTCCCCCAGGGAGGCAAGGAAGGACAGACACCACCGCAGCCCCACGTGGCCAGGGCTGGGGGAAGGAGGCGTGTACTCTGCCTGGGGCCCCTCCCTGCATGTGGGAACGCTCAAGCTGAAAGAGTAACTAGAAGTCCTCAAAAGAAGCGGAAAAAAGTACTTGTTGGAGGACCGCACTGGCAAAGAAACAGAAGGGTGCTTGATAAGGGAAACAGTATGTACTCTTTTAGGGTAGCCGGGAGTTAGGTGGCGGGGGAGGTGGCGGTGGGGAGCGAGACAGAGGCTGGAAATGATACCGGCAGATGAGGGGCTGTAGATTCCAGGGGCTTCAGCCTTCTGGAACTGGGGACCTTTGCAAGAGCTTAGAGCTACAGGGTTCAGGGCTTCCCTGGTGGCTCAGACCGTAGAGAATCTGCCTGCAATGCAGGAGACCTGGGTTCAGTCCCTGAGTCGGTAAGATCCCCTGGAGAAGGGAATGGCAACCCACTTTAGTATTCTAGCCTGGATAATCATATGGACAGAGGAGCCTGGCGGACTACAATCCACGGGGTCGCAGAGTCAACACGACTAATGCTTTCAGAGCTATATAAGATGCGGCGTGAGATAACGCCCTCTGGTGGTAACGAAATGTAGCCGGCTGGGACTGGGAACTAGGGACCATAGTCATTCGCTCTACCGAACGCGTACACGTGACTAAGGGCCACGAAAGCGCAGGGGAGGCCCCTAACCCAGCCTGGTAGTGAGAGGGAACTTTTCCGCACGATGAGAGCTACAAACTCACACGGAGATTGGGTTAGGCTGAAGGCCAGGCTGAGCACAAAGCCTCCGAGTTTAAAATCAAAAAAGGGGGCGAGAGCAGCGCTTAGTCCCGACGTGGGGGTGGAGCCACCCGCCCCAGCTAGGCAGGGCTTCCCTGGTAACCAAGGAGACCTGTTGCTAGGGGACCAGGCTAAGAAAGGACTCTCCCATTACCAAGATGGCAAGCAATCGGCTTCATACCTGAAACCAAGCCCTTCCTGGGGTCCATTTTGGAGTCTGGCAAAATTTAAGCTCCGCGTCTAAGCCAGGAAAGTCAAGCAGCACACATAAAGAGGAAACCTGGAGACAGTGCCTATTAGAATCTAGGAAAAAGGGTGGCCTGCCCTGGTCATTTCGTAGGAGTCTCTCAGCGAGATTCTGGTGCCCTCTGCCCTTAACCAAGATGGCCGCTCTGAAGCGGCAGCGCACTGTGAGATATGGCAGCGCTTCCGGTCCCTCTGCCCTCAGCGAAGATGGCGGCAGTAGAGAAGCGGCGGCAGGCGGTGGCACAGGCAACTAGTTTCACAGACAGCGGCCGGCCGGGGGTGTCCCGAGCGGCGGCGACGACCGAGAGTGAAGAGGACTTCCTGCGACAGGTCGGCGTGACGGAGATGCTACGCGCGGCCCTGCTAAAGGTGCTGGAGGCGCGACCGGAGGAGCCCATCGCCTTTCTGGCGCACTACTTCGAGAACATGGGCCTGCGGTCTCCTGTAAACGGCGGCGCTGGGGAGCCTCCGGGCCAGCTCCTGCTTCAGCAGCAGCGCCTGGGCCGCGCACTGTGGCATCTTCGCCTGGCTCACCACTCCCAGAGGTGCGGGGTTGGGCCGGGCCTGGACGGGTAGGGGCCGCAGCCGGACTTCAACTCCCAGCGGGCTCCGCGCGGCTCCCACCCTCGGCGCCGGTGCACCAGCGCGGGGCGTACTGGGAACTGTAGACGGCTGCGTCTGGCGCAGGAAGGGCGCGGACCGCGCGGGGCTCCAGGGCCCCAGCGGGCCCACCCAGCTGAGTGCTGGCGCTGGTACTTCTGGTCGATTTAGTATTTGGTGATGCCTCTTTGCAGATGCCGAGTTTCCCCGTGCACCCCACCCCACTTTTGAAAATCATGGAGCCCACACAGGACTTGGTCCCTCCTAGCTCCCGCGTTCCCAGCGTGGAGAACCCTGCCCATTCAATCAGAAAATGAGTATTTACAGGGCTGGGTCGTGGAGACGGGAAGCAAACGACTCATTTGAGGCCCCTACTCTACGGGGAGGTCCCCTGCTGGCAGGAGGGGCGTCCAGGAAGGGGCCCGCAGGATACACAGGGAAGGGTATTGCGGGCACGAGGTACCGGGTGCGCTGGTCTGGAGGCTGCGGTGCTGTAGTGTGGGACCAATGGGGAAGGGGAAGAGCTGAAGCATGGGGCGGTGGAGGGAATGGCGCCTCCCCCCACCCCACCCCCCTCACAGCTCTGAGTTGGGGGAAGGGTGAGTGAATGGACCGGGTCAGGTGGATGGGGAGAAGCCGTCTGACTCGCAGCATCAACCAGACAGGGTGGCCGCTGGACGTGGGTGAGCTGGGACTCAGATGTTGAAGGGGTCCCCAAAGAACCCAGGAAAGGGGGGAAGCCAAGCAAGGGAGCGTTTCAGCCTGAACCCAGCACCCACCTGCCTGGAAGCACGCTCCTGAGTCAAGGAGCTGAGAGGCCAGGAGGAGCCGGGTGTGGCGAGCCGGCCGGGTGTCTGAAGTGATAGCCAGAAAAGGGAGTACCTGGAGATGGGGGCCTGGTGAGGGTAGGGGGTAGGGGTGACTGGCGGGCATGCATGGGCTCTGCTGGGGCCCAGGCGGCTGGGGGTTGTACAGGAGCAGCGCCAGGTGGTCTGTGAGAGGGGAGGTCACTGGTCAGTCAGGTGCTGGGAAAACCTTGCAGCTGGAAGGTGGACACTCACGTCTGCAGCTGAGACATGTAACGGGCAGGAGGTTGTCATGGGGAGAGGGGCATTATGGAGGCCTCAGGGGAGCTGAGAAGAGCCCAGGACCCGACTCTGAGGAGCCCCAGCCTCAGCGCACCCACAAGAAAGTGTGAGAAGGCAGAATAGACATGAAGGAGGGAAGCAGAAGACAGGGGCACCCAGGACACATTCCAAGAAAAACAGTCAGCAGCAGGGCCGTCAGGTCCTTGTCCAGGTCAAGCACTGCACAAGCCACTCAGCCCCTAGACGTCACAGCCCAGGACCTTTACGTGAAGGCTTTTTGCAGTGCTTTTCCTAATCCACACGGATACCTGTGAGCTGCCGGCCACCCCATGTCCAGTGGCCCTCGAGGTGAGAGCATGTGAGATGTGTAGGATTTAGAACCCAGGGGCTGCTTGAGTGTCCTGGGGCTGCTGTAAGCAATTTACCACAAGCTCGTGACTCAAAGCAGCAGAAATGTATTCTCCCACAGCCTGGGGGCCAAAGCCAGAAATCCAGGGGCTACAGGGCTGTGCTCCCCGATCCCCTGAAGCTGTTGGGGGAGGTCCTTCAGGCATCTTTCCCTTCAGGGCATTGTGAACATCCTTGGCCAGCCAAGTCTCCCACCCTCGGTGTCTGTCTCTAACAGATAGTTGGTGTTGGGTTTAAGGCTCATCTCATCTCCAGATCCTGAACTGATTACATCCACAAAGACCCTACTTCCAGACAAGGCCACACCCACAGGTTCTGGGCAGACCTGCACTGCGCACGTGGGGTTGAGGGGATGACACCCTGTCCACCACACCGCAGGGCTGCTGGAGCTGTCGGCGGGAGGCTCCAAGGGAACGGAGTGGGCAGGGTGAACGACCAGGGCTAGTGGTGCACCTGATCTCCCTGATCTCAGAGGTGGCTTCCCAGGCGAAAGCCCGGTCACCTCAGCTGCCAGGTCAGAAGCAGAAGCCAGACCAAGTGGGTCCCGGGCGTGGGTCCGCCTGAGGCCAGGCAGCCCCAGTGCTGTGATGGCTGGGGTTTCCTGAGGCTGCTCTTGAGAGTGACCTCAGCACGAAAGATTTGGGGCAAACTCAACCTAAATCCCCTCTGCTGAGGTGGGGAAATGACACGTGTTGGTAGACAGTGGAGCCAACAGCCCACCAGCCCCCAGAGCACACACAGCCGATGCTGTAGGGCAGCCACGCCACATGCTGAGAGTAGCAGCAAGAGTGCCAACCCCTGCAGGCCCTGTTGCCCCAGAAAACACACAGAAGCACCATAGTGTCCTCGGCTCACAGCATCCTCTGTGGGGGTGTCCTGGGTACCATGAGGGTATGGGGCAGCCTCCCTGCTCCCCACCCACCGAATGCCAAGAGCCTTCCCCCATGACAAGCACAGATGTCCCCAGACATCACCCCGTGTCCCCTGGGGGCAGAATCTCCCCAGATGAGACATGCTGAGATAAAGGAGTCCACAAACCCCCAGGAGACCCTGCATTCCATGACCATGTGACCTCTGAAGTCCTGAGATGTACACATTCCACACACACCTGAGTCAGTGGGGGAGAGGGGACTTACAGATGCTGGGGGCCACCCTGGTTTACACCACGTGACTCAGGGGCAAGTATGAAGGCAAAGGCTGTGAGCAAGGAGAGGACCCCATCTCTTCAAACACTGAACCAGAGCCCCTTCCCCCTCGGCTCTCTGACATTGTGTGGGTGCGGGAGGTCACTGTAGGGGGTCCTGCAGGTGTTGAGCAGCCTCCTGGGCCTCTACCCAACCAATGGTGACAAAGAAAACTGCCCCCAAACATCATCACTAGTGTCCCCTGGGGGTAGAGTCACCCCATCGAGAGCCCCGTCTACAGCGTGTCTCTGTGACACGACCCATAAATTGGTTCTTTTTAGCAAGTGCCCAACGTGCTCTGTAAACTCCTCTCTGTGGGAGCTGGCACAGGGGGAACCTGAGGACCAGAGCCCAGGATGGCAGACCGCACGGGTGCCCCTTCTCAACTGGAGCCCCCAGCAGAATGGCCTCGGGGTGGGGTGTGGCCTTCCTCCGTCTTCTCCCCTGATGATCTCATCTCCCTGGGCCATCACTGCCTGCTATGCATCTTCCTGTCCACAAGGCTGGGAGCCCATGGTAAACAGCTCCTGGACAAGGCTGCATGGCAGCTAGTGACAGTGAGTGACAAGAACACGTGGGACCCCAGCCTCACACCAGGCACAAAAACTAATCTCTGTCCTCCCAAGAATTCTGAGACACAGGCTAGAACCCTTATTCTCCAGATGAGGAAAACGGCACAGTGGATAGAACCGGCACAGGTCTAGGCCAGACCAGGAACAGTACCGACCAACTCCAGGGCGAGTGAGTCACTTAGGACAACTGGCTGGTTGACCAGGTTCCTGGGGGAGACTTCAGGCAGAGCTGAGTGGTTGATGGATGAGCTGTCAGGCCACAGGGACAGGCACCTGAAACCTCAGTGGCCTCACGGCTGCTGCAGAATCAACAGGGCACTGCTCACCCAGGGTTGCAGGAGTGGACCCCCCATGGGAAGTGGGCCACACCCTCGTGGGGTAGGATACCCTGCCGCCAAGATGCCCCTGAGAGCCCCCTGTATTCACAACCTCAGACAGCTGCCTCTTACATCAAACCAGACCAACCCGCATCACCACCTTGCCTGTCACCCACTCAGGGGGCGAGCACCGTAAGCTGAGCGTGCTGACGCTGCCCCTGGGGATGGGCTTACACAGCGAGCCTTCAGAGGAGGGGGCCCCACCAGGGTCCTGGCTGCAGCCGCTCCCAGTTCTGACTCAGTCTGCGACATGATCTAGTTGTGGGCTTAACTGCCACACAGCCACCAAGCTGGCCCCAGCATCATCACCACCAGGCTTGCTCCCACCAGAGACCCTTGTCCCGGGGAAAGGAGCTGACAGGCTCCCACAAGGGGTTGTTTCGAGGCGGCAGCAGCTAGCGCAATGCCAGTTGTGCAAAGGGAGGGTCTGGCACCCTCACACTTCACAGGGTGCTCTCACTAACCCTAAAGCCCCAGCACATTGTCCTAGAACTGAGAAGTGAATCCCAGCTGGGCAAGACCCCAGGTCCTGCCCTCTCCCCTCTGCACTGCGGCTCCTCCTCTGTAAGGGGTCTTGACCCCTGGAGCTCAGTGGGTGAGCATGGCTGTCCCTGGACCCTGCCCTGCTCTGGCCCAGTGTGGACCAGGCTCCCACCCACGCTGGCCAGTACAGGCGGGTGGCATGCTGTGTCTCACAGATAAGAGTGGAGCCAGGCTCCCAGAAAGGGTGAGTGTGAGCCGTGGGGTGCCTCTTCCTCTGTGGGACCCCTGACCTGGCCATCAGCTGCCCCAAGCCTCACTTCGCCTTTGCTTTAGAGCTGCAGCAGGATGCCAGCTGTCAAAGAGGGGATTGGAGTGGGCACCCAGGCTGACTCAAGCCCTCACACAACCACCTGGGAGGCTCCTAGCATGGCCAGGGCACGGCAGGGGGTACTTCATGGCTTCGTGGGGCAAGCAGTAAGTAGTGTCAGCACTGGGGCCATTCCTGATGTGATCTGTGGAGGAAAGAGGCAGCGTGTCTGGGTTGATGTGGCTGCTTGCGGATAAACTTACAAAGCAGCAGCAGCGGGCTTGAGCCACACCCTGGGTCACAGGCTCTGGGCCTGCACAGGTGAAATGAGTTAACTCAGTTAAGAGGTAGGGGCATGTCCTGCCCAGTGACACCTCTGAGGTGGAAAGTCCGTGGGCAGGAGCCCGTTGGCAGAGTCGGCAGCCGTTTCTCTAGCTCCTAGGCGGTGGTGTGGGCACTGGGACTGTAATGAGTGACCCGACAGATGAACTCCCAGACAGGCTCCAGAGCTGGTGATGGGAGGAAGGGAACTCAGGAGGACTCCATGAAGATAAGTATAGGAAGGGGTTAGGGGGTCGGGGAGGACACTGCCCTAGACGTGATGCTGAACACAGACGGCTGAGCACAGACTCGGCGGAGCATGTGCGGATCTTGGGGAGATCTGGGGAGGGCGCTCCAGGTCAGGGCACAGCTGGTGGAACGGACCTGAGGCAGGAGGGGCCGGTGTGTTGAGGTTGGGGGGCTGGAGCAAGCCTCTAGTGCGAGCCGACGCCCCCTCCGCCCGCAGGACGGCCTTCAACAACAACGTCGGCGTGGCCTACGAGTGCCTGAGCGCCAGCGGGCGCAAGAAGAAGCCGGGGCTGGACGGGCGCACGTATAGCGAGCTGCTGAAGCGCATCTGCCGCGACGGAGAGGCCCCCGAGGAGGTGGTGGCGCCACTGCTGCGCAAGATCCAGTGCCGGGACCACGAGGCAGTGCCGCTGGCCGTGTTCCGCGCGGGGATGCTCACCTGCTTCGTGCTGCTGGAGTTCGTGGCGCGCGCCGGCGCCCTCTACCGGCTGCTGGAGGACCCGGGCCTGGCCGTGGCCGACCGCCGCTTGGGCCAGGCCGTGTTGGACACGCTGGAGGGGGCCCTGCAGGCCAGCGACGACACTGCGCCCGCGCGCTACCTGGAGGCGGGCTCGCGCCTGGGGCCCGACAGCCTGGCGCTGGCTATGGACCGCGCGCTGGTGGCCCGACGACCCAGCGCCCCCATGACCCGGGAGGAGTTCCTGGAGAAGGCCGCCGCCCTCTTCATCGCTAAGGTCAAGCCCGTGGGCTGAGCTCCGCCCTCCGCCGCCGCCTCCTCCTCCTCCGCCTGGACATACAGGGCCCTCATGGTCTGCTCATCTGCTTCTGGGTGGAGCACTTCCGGGGGCCAGGACTGGGGTGTCCCTGCATGCCAGCTTCCCACCTGGAATGATGCCTCAGCCCCCTTCAGCGGGGGAGGGGGCAAGGGTCCCTCCCCGCACATTCACCAAGGTTCGCCTCTCCTGAGCAGAAATAAAGGCTGTTCCCCAGGCTGACCTGATGTGTGTGTGAGCGCCCGTGTCCAGTCACACGTCCCTGGAAACGGTCTCCACTCGGGTGCATCCCAGCCAGCCCCAGCGGGTCCCACCGCTGCCCAGAAACCAGGGTGCCCCAGCACTCGGCTTCATGGGAGCGGAGGGCACTGGGACACCCAGTGAGATGCCTTGGACCCACAGCCCCAAGATCTGGGAGGCACGGGCTGCCCCAGCAGTCCCTCCCCGAGCACCCCGCCGGATCAGGTCCTCTCTGGTCCTCAGTTTACTCCAGCCTCCAAGGAAAGAGGTCAGCTGGGCCGGTAATCATGATAGTGATGACAGAAATGGCCAACAAGTCCAAGGCCTGCAGTGTCTTGCCTCACCACTGTCCTATGCAGAAGGTAAGCCACTGCCCACATCTGGCAGATGGTGAAACCCAAGCCCAGAGGAGCAGAGGTCACACCACCAGCAAGGGGCCAGCAGGGCCCTAAGCCCCAGTCACCCACACCACCTCCACGACCACAGGGTGGGGGGAAGGGCGGGGAACCCATCCAGGATCCAGGCACACCAGACAGTCACCAAGCACCTGGGTGTCCCCCTCCCACCAGCGGGATCACTTTCTGGACCCAGGACCCTGCAGGAAGCACACTGCTAGCCCAGACCAGGTGCAGGCAGGTCCAGCCTCAGCTTCCTCCTCTGTTAAATGGGACCCAGGCCACCCCTGTTCTGACTGAGGGAGACCACACAAGGACGGAATCTAAAGCCTTTTTCCAGACCTTTGGCAGGAGCCAGCTTGCCTCCTCCGGTTTCCCAGCGCCTGCCCTTGGCCGGTAACCGATAAACCAGTAACAGCCGCAGCTTCCTTTCTTTTCCCACTGGCTCTTCCAGAATCTCCCAACCCCCTCCAAGGGCAGGAATGAGATGGAAACTGAGCCACCCCCCGCCCTGCCCTTGGTGGCTTTTGTGACAGTACTTGGCTCCGTGTACCTATCGTCATGAAAGGCAACAGGTACCCCTATAGGTGCTGGCATGGCATGCAGCAGCCATGCTGTGAGGAGGCCCAAGCCACCTGGAGGTACCTGACTGGCAGCTCCTGCTTTGGGGTAAGTGAATGAGTGTTATTGTTTCAAGCCTCGAAGTTGTGGGGTCATTTGTTCCATAACCGGAAGGTTCATGCAGGGGCTCCAGTCAGTAAGCATTAGCTGTTTCAGTGCAGGGCCTACTCTTGGGCTCCGGCAGCCACCAGTAACCGTGGTTCCCCGGGGCGACCTCTCCCTCCAGCTATCAGAAACAGGGCTGGACAGTACGTAGAAGCCGTCACTGGTGCCACCAGATCCTTTTCCCAGCTAAGGCTCACAGCTGTCCCACTGCAGAGGAACCACATGGCCCAGGAGGCCCCATCACCCACTCTGGGACAGGAGTGGCCAGTGTCCGCCAGGGGATGACCAGTGGGGGACCGCTGTGGGCGTGGCCAGTGAAGGACTGGCCAGAAGTCTAATCTGGCCTGCTTGCCTCAAGGGAAGCTACCTGTGGGGACAGCTCACACTTCAGGGCCAACCCCCGACTCCCCCCGTCCCGCCTGGGTCGGGCTGTGACCAGCTGGGGTCACATCTCCTGTCCCGTCCACCTTCCCTCACTGCCTCCCCTGAGTCACCATCACGCCTGGTCTTGGGTCCAGAAGTCCTGGATTACCCTTTACAGGCATGACCTGGGGAAGCTGAGCCATCCTGTTTACCTGGCCTCATGGCAGCGTGGGCGCTAGCCTCCCTGCCTTCCACACTCCACAGGCCCCAGAAGTCTCCTCCTCTCCCCCAGCTTCCCAGGGGAGGGCAGGTGTCCTTGTGCTCTGCTAGGGGCCTCTTCTCTCCTCATGCTTCCTCCTCACTTGGCATCTCACCGGGGCCGCAGCTTGAATTACTGCTTGGTTACCAAGGAGTCTCAAATTCACATCTCGAGCCCAGCTCTGCTCTGCTCCAGCCCTGGAGAGCAAACCACCTGCTGGGCATATCCTCAGGGACATCCCAAGATCATCCTGGGCCTGTCACATCCAGGATGGAGCCTCCGGACAGCCTCCCTGGTCCTGGGGCTCCTCTGGAGTTTGTGGTCTCTGAGGAAGCCTCCCTGCCCAGGACTGGGACTTGACCTGGGTGCCTTCCCTGTCCTGTTAGTGGGCCCTTCTCTGTATCCTGTTGGTTGCACATTATAGCTTCATCCTGCCTGCTCCTCCCCACACTGGTCCAGTCCACATCCCCACCAGCCCAGGAGTGCTCCATGCACCCCGGCCTCAGTGATTGGTTCAGGAACAGCATGTGACTCCCAGCTGGCCAATGAGACACATAGCCCTGGGACTTTTCCTGGAGCTGCTGTCTGAGAAGACCTGGGCCTGGATCCTAGAGCCATCTGGTCACCACATGGCCTGTGAACAAAGTGAGCACTCAGGAAGGCTGGGCAGGGAGACTCCTCAGCGTCTATCTTTGCCTCTGTCCCCTCACTGGGCCATGCACACTGGTCTCCAGCTGGTCTGGCTTATCCCTGCTTCAGGCCTTTGCACACACTATTCCTTTTTCTGTGACACTATTCCTCCAGACCCTCGTGGCTCACTCCTTTCTGGTCTCTGCTCAAATGCCACTTCTGGAGAGGCACCTCCCCCAACCCCATCTAAAATAACCTGTCTGCTCCACTCCCATTGCTAATGCTTCACTATGCTCTATATTCCTTCATAACAATTACTGCTACCAGAAGTTGCTTAACAACTTGCTTCTGTCCTTTCTTCTTGTCTCCCCAAAAGCAGGGTTTTTTTTTTTTTTACAAAAAAATGTTTTTATTTCACAGAGGTACATTCTAACATATTTTGGGGTAAACTATTATGATTCTGCAATTTACTTTTTATTTATTTATTTATTTATTTTTAATCACAACCATAATCACAACCATAGTGTATCTTTTTTTTTTTTTTTAACATGTATTCCCCATCCCGGTCCCCCCTCCCACCTCCCTCTCCACCCAATCCCTCTGGGTCTTCCCAGTGCACCAGGCCCGAGCACTTGTCTCATGCACCCAACCTGGGCTGGTGAACTGTTTCACCCTAGATAATATACGTGTTTCAATGCTGTCCTCTTGAAACATCCCACCCTCGCCTTCTCCCAGAGTCCACAAGTCTGTTCTATACATAGGAGTCTCTTTTTCTGTTTTGCACATAGGGTTATCGTTACCATCTTTCTAAATTCCATATATATGTGTTAGTATACTGTAATGGTCTTTATCTTTCTGGCTTACTTCGCTCTGTATAATGGGCTCCAGTTTCATCCATCTCATTAGAACTGATTCAAATGAATTCTTTTTAATGGCTGAGTAATATTCCATGGTGTATATGTACCACAGCTTCCTCATCCATTCATCTGCTGATGGGCATCTAGGTTGCTTCCATGTCCTGGCTATTATAAACAGTGCTGCGATGAACATTGGGGTACACGTGTTTCTTTCAGATCTGGTTTCCTCGGTGTGTATGCCCAGAAGTGGGATTGCTGGGTCATATGGCAGTTCTATTTCCAGCTTTTTAAGAAATCTCCACACTGTTTTCCATAGTGGCTGTACTAATTTGCATTCCCACCAACAGTGTAAGAGGGTTCCCTTTTCTCCACACCCTCTCCAGCATTTATTGCTTGTAGACTTTTGGATAGCAGCCATCCTGACTGGTGTGTAATGGTACCTCATTGTGGTTTTGATTTGCATTTCTCTGATAATGAGTGATGTTGAGCATCTTTTCATGTGTTTGTTAGCCATCTGTATGTCTTCCTTGGAGAAATGTCTGTTCAGTTCTTTGGCCCATTTTTTGATTGGGTCATTTATTTTTCTGGAGTTGAGCTGGAGGAGTTGCTTGTATATTTTTGAGATTAATCCTTTGTCTGTTGCTTCGTTTGCTATTATTTTCTCCCAATCTGAGGGCTGTCTTTTCACCTTGCTTATAGTTTCCTTTGTTGTGCAAAAGCTTTTAAGTTTCATTAGGTCCCATTTGTTTATTTTTGCTTTTATTTCTAAAATTCTGGGATGTGGGTCATAGAGGATCTAAAGCAGGGGTTTTTATAAATTTTATTCACTGCTGTACCTGAATATGTCTATGGAAGGCCATGAATTAATTAATCACTTTTCCAGAGGAAGAATCTAAACTCACAGAAGCCAGGGTATTCATTTCTGGTGGCTGCAGTAACAAACCACTTGAAAAACAAAACAAAACCCCAGAAAAACCCCACAACACAAGTTCATTATCTCACAGTTCTGGGAGGTTTAGCACTTGAGGACCATTTCCAAGTTTATGGCAGAACCTAGATTTGAATTCAGGGCTCCTCTATGGCATGTGATGGAAGGCTCAACTCAAACTGGCTTAACAAAAAAAGAAATAATTTAATTACTTGCATTACTGCAGGGGGAGGTCAGGCATGGCTGGATCCAGAGCACAAACAGGATCATCAGCACGTTCCCATCAGGCAGCTCAGCTTTCCTGAGGGCCAACTTTTTTCACAGGCCTCGTGGTGATGAAATGGTCCTTTAGCTGCAGGCCCAAGTTCTCCCAGCTCAGTCACCCCAGCATCGTGTACCCAGAAAAAGACCAAGTCACATGCTGTCCCCAAATGAACCAGTGCAGCCAGGGGCCCTAGGACATTGGTTGGATGACCCAGCTCTGCAGCCAGGGCTAGGGGTCAGTTCAATTCAAAGCTTGCAGGCTAAAAATGGGTACCTCCAAGGAAAATGGAGGTGCTATGGCTGGAAAACAGCAAGTAGAAACCCCAGGTGGCCACCACCCCAGGATGTTTCAGAGTCCAAGGTGTGGGCTTTTCTGGAGGGACACAGCCTCATGTGGGGGGGACTGGCTGGAGGGCCCATAAACCTAGCACCTCCCTTTACATTTTCTAGCTGAGCCCCCACCCATTCCAAACTCCTGTTATGTGGGGTGTACGTTGGCAAACTCCTCTGGAAGAATCATCATTCATTCTAATTACTACTAATCAACAAACTGCCCCATGCCAATGCTATGACGTTGATGCTATGGGCAGAGAAGGAGGAGCAGAGAAGACTTAGAATACTAGACAAAGCAGGGTGTGCAGCCCACTTTATAGATGAGGGTCCCCTCCAGGTCCCACAAGGTGCAGGGCACAGCCCTCTGTACTGATGAAGCTGCTACTCTGCCCAGGGTTCTCAGAGTCCTCCATTCGTTCCACAGGTGACATTTTGTTTTCCTCCTCCGGACGGGTCTACCTGACTGTCCTCAGTGGTGACCAGCCCAAGGCCAGATGTCAGGGCACCTCGGGGTAGGAACAGGCTCAGCCCCGCCCCAGGCGTTGGCGCAGCTGTTGGCAGCCCGGGTCCCCCGCCACGAGGCCACCGGTGCCAAGCCCACCTTCATGGCGAGCTGTCACCTGCGGACGTGCAGGCATGGAGGCAGGCTCTACCCCTACTCTCCCATCCAGATCTGCGTGGGCGTCCGGGCCCAGGGAGCAGGGCTCTGGTCAGGTCGGGTGGGACGGATGCCGAGTCAAGGTTGCAGAAGGCGCGCCGAATGGGGAGAGGGCTGCGAGCGACAGAACCCTCCCGACTCGAGCGTCCGGGGCGGCCGGACCGGGTCCCGGGTAGGGAAACTGAGGCTCGCGCCGGCAACGCCCCGGCCCCGCCCCGCGCCAGGACGTCACAAAAAGGCCCCCAAAGCGCGGCAGGCCCGGCAGCGCGCCGCAGCGCTGCCCTGCCCGCGGCCCCACGCACAGGCGTCAGGGGAGCTAGTCCGAGCCGGGGCGGCGGCGGCCTTCCAGGGGTCGGAAGCGCCAAAGCGCCAAAGCGCCTGCGCGCGCGGCCCCTGGCTCCCGGCGGCTCGCTCGGCGGCCGGGGGAGGGGTCGCTTCCCGGCGTGCCCCGCGGGCGGGCGCGCAGGCGAGATCGGGGCGGGCGCCGCGCAAGCGCACTCGGCGGGGGCGGGGCGCGGCAGTGGAGGCGAGCGCCAGGCGGCGGCGCAGAGCGAGTGGAGCGCCCGGGGTCTCCGGGCGGCGGCGGCGGCGGGGGCGGCGGCGCAGAGGAGGAAGGCGGCCCCGGCCCGTCCCGCGGCCCCGCGGCCCCGCGGCCCCACGCGCCCCAGGCCCCGGGCCCGTCCGCCGCCGCCATGGCCCGGCCGCTGGTGCCCAGCTCGCAGAAGGCGTTGTTGCTGGAGCTCAAGGGGCTGCAGGAGGAGCCGGTGGAGGGCTTCCGGGTGACCCTGGTGGACGAGGGCGACCTGTACAACTGGGAGGTGGCCATCTTCGGACCCCCCAACACCTACTACGAGGGCGGCTACTTCAAGGTGAGCGGCGGGGTGGGAGGGGCGGCGACCCCTTCTCCAGCTCCTCGGGGCCCCTCCCAACTTCTGTCCCCTCCCAACTCCCCTGGCAGGGCTCACTCTCACTGTCCCTGCTCCTCGTGGGGTCCCTTTCTTCCCCCTCCTCGCGGGGCCCCCTGCCCTTGCTCCTCTGCCTGGTCGCCTCTGGCGTGCTGAGGGCCCTCGGTCACCCCCTCTTCCCCTCCGGCCCCAAGAGTCCCTGAGAAAGCACCAGGTCCCCTAAGGCCACTTCAAGCCTCCAGTGGGGAGACCTGGGACCCTCCTGTCTCTTTGGGTGTGTGGCCCTTGCTTCCCCCAGGCCCTGGTGCCCGTCCCTTCCTCCTGCCTGTATTTGCTGCCCAGAGCAGACAAAGAGGCCTCCCCAGGACTGACCAACACGGTTGTGAAGAGCCCTGGCCTTAGGAAGGGGAAGGGAGGCCCGCCGCCTGGGGGCTGGCTCGGCCACTCGCTCGGGTTCCAACAAAGGCCTGGATGGGCTTGGCAGCCAGGATCGGCTTGGAAAGCGGCCACCCTGGCCAGTAGCAGTGGGCCAGGTCCTCTGGGCTTCATCATGGTCTTTACATAACCTGTTCTGTTTGACGCTCTCTCCCACATTTTGCCCTGTTCCTGGGAGCCACACTGCAGAACCCACACAGGCCCGGCCTCAGAAGCTCTGGCTCCTCTGCGGCCTAGCTGGCGTTTCTCTGGTCCTGCTGATCAGGCAGCTTCTTGGGCCTTAATTGCTTGCTCTGGGCCGCTCCTAGGCCCTCTGTGGTGATTGAGTTCTGGTGACTTCCCTGGTGGCTCAGATGGTAAACCGTCTGCCTACAATGTGGAAGATCTGGGTTCGATCCCTGGGTCGGGAAGATCCTCTGGAGAAGGAAATGGCAACCCACTCCAGTACTCTTGCCTGGAAAATCCCATGGGTGGAGGAACCGAGTTCTGAGCAGTTCCCTAAGAGCTGTTGTTGGGAGCAGTGAGGCATGGGCGCTCCCTGGGATTGACACTGTCTCAGTCCAGTGTGGACGAGAACTCAGACCAAAACCTGGAAAGGCTGTGAGTCCAGATGTGGCCTTGGGAGAATACCTCCCAGATCAAAGGACTTCGCTCCTTAAGCAAGAGGGACAAGGCAGGGGGTTGCCTTGCGAGAGAGGTGGGTCCTGGACTCATAGCTGGAACACCCAGTCGCTGCCTGCCAAGGTCCTAGCGGCCTGGCTGGGAGGCTTGGGCGGGAGCAGGGCAGGCTGGTGCTGCCCTGGCAAATGTCTGTGTTTACACTTTTGGCTAGCGTTTTAGCCACGCCTTCTGTCGGCCTTAAGGGAGCAGGCTGAACTACTGGGGTGATCCCTGGTTGAGGTTCTCTGGTTGCCAGAGTTGGGTGGGGGATTGAAGGTCAACAGCCCTAGGCTGAGATCTGATCTGAAGTCCCATCTTCTCCACACGGGGCCTGCGTTTGGGGCTGGTCACCAGATGGTTTGACCAGCCTCCCTCCCACAAAGCCCTTTTGTCTGCTTCTGGGAGCAGCCGACTGTGAGGATAAGAGCCCCGCTCAGAGCAGGAATAGGGAGTCCTACCTAAGGCCAGGCCAGGACTCTGGCCTGAAAAGAAAGAACCTGGGTTCCTGGCTGTTGCCTACTGTTGGCAAGGGATTGTGGGTAAGTCCTTCCGGGCTGGTTTTGGTATAAGCCTGATTTTCTAGAGGATGGCCTGGAAAGGGGGCGCACCTAATCCTGTCTGCTGTAGGCTGGTCTTAAGGAAGGCAGCAAAGGATCCACGGTGGTTCTGCCACCCTTGGATCCTTTTGTCACAATGTGGTTGGGTGGCAGTGGGAAGAGGACGTGGGTGCTAGAAGTGCCTGGAGGCCACCATGGTTTCCCAGTGCCTCCCTCTCAGCCGCCCAGCCTCACCCGATCCCCCTTATGAGCTGCAGGGGCCCCAGGAAGCATGTGTTGTGCTGAGGGGTGCCCCAGAGACCAGGTCAGGGAGCCCCTCCGCAGCTGCATGCTGTGCGCCCCTGGGCACGTTACTTTCCACCGAGCCTCAGTTGGCACAGTGGTGAAGGCACCTCTGGGACCTGGTGGATGCCTGGGGCAGAAGAGGCCTCAGCTGGGCTCGGGCTATCACTTAGAAACCCAGCCCTGGGCTTGCGGGAGACAATGGGGTCTGAGACCTGAGTTCAAGGTTGGCTCACTCCAAAACAGAGAGCCTCCCCCGTGACCCCAGCGTCCCCTATCCAGGAGGAGGATTCTCCAAAGATAGGAGGAGAGGGAACATAGCAGAGGTGCCCTATGGGGCCCCAAGAGCCTGAAGCACCACCAGGGTCCCTGGACTGGGGCATAAATAGGCTGAGCCGGGGGCACAGGTCTCCCCCAGGGGCCTTCTCCTGTCTTCCCGTGACCTTCCCGGCTACCTTCTGACACCCCAGGGCTGACACCTGCAGGCAGAGAGCCCGTCGCTGACTCATCTCCGCCCCCAGTGCCTGCCCAGTGAACACGCATCTATTTTAGTCCTTCCCACGAGCTGGAGACTGAGGCTGGGCGCCCAGCATGGTGCTCAGGTAGCCAGCCCTGGGCTCTGGTCCCACCACAGGCCTGGAGCTGATCCCCAGGGGTGCCCACACCCCTGGCAACAAGGCAGGGACCAGGGTCGGCTTGACTCAGGTGACTCAAACGCCCCAGGCCCGTGAGGGGCACCAGAGGCAGGCGGGTCCCAGGGCAACCACTGTGTGTGGCCATGGGTGGCCTGACTCACCGAGCCCCCTGCTCTCCCCCAACCAGGCGCGCCTCAAGTTCCCCATCGACTACCCTTACTCCCCTCCCGCCTTTCGGTTCCTGACCAAGATGTGGCACCCCAACATCTATGAGGTGAGCATGCCCTCGGGCCCTGTGGGGGTAGGGGGGCTTGGGGACAGGAGCCATGTGGGTGCTGACTCTTCCCTGCCCCCCCATATCTCACAGACTGGCGACGTTTGCATCTCTATTCTCCACCCTCCAGTGGATGACCCCCAGAGCGGGGAGCTGCCCTCGGAGCGGTGGAACCCCACACAGAACGTCAGGTGAGGGCGTCAGATGGGCCGCCCTGGGGGTGTGGACATAGGGGCAGGTGCAACTTCCTATCCTTACACACACACAACGCCCTGTCCCTGCCAGCCTTTCCCCCATCTTTTGCCACCCACTACCCCCCCACCTTTGGTAACATCCTCAGGGAATCCTGGGCTTCCCTTGTGGCTCAGGTAGTAATGAATCTGCCTGCAATGTGGGAGACCTGGGTTCGATCCCTGGGTTGGGAAGATCCCCCGGAGACCGTAAAGGCTACCCACTCTAGTATTCTGGCCTGGAGAATTCCATGGACTGTATAGTCCATGGGGTTGCAAAGAGGTGGACATGACAACTTTCACTTTTTAGGGAATCCTGTCTGCCTACCCCAGGGGTCCCCCCTCCTTCCTTGAGCCCCAGAGAACACAGACCCCTTTGTCCTGGGGGCTATGCTCACCCTGCCTCCTGCCCAGCGCACTTCATCCAGCCCAGGTCTGATCATGGGTGGCCTGGGGAAACCACTCTCCAGGGGAAACACCCTGGGGAGGGAACAGACCTGCTTCACCCAAGCAAAGGTGGTCCTGGCCTTGGCTGCCCATCCCACATCCTATCCCAGGAGCTAGGCATGCAGCAGAGGATCAGGGTCAGGGTCAGGGTGGGAGGCTCCAAGGTGGGCAGTGCCCTGGGCTGTGGATTCCCCCACACCAACTCCTGCTCCTCCAGGACCATCCTCCTGAGTGTCATCTCCCTCCTCAACGAACCCAACACCTTCTCGCCAGCCAACGTGGACGCCTCTGTGATGTACAGGAAGTGGAAAGAGAGCAAAGGCAAGGACCGCGAGTACACGGACATCATCCGGTGAGCGGCCCAGGGGTCTGGGCCTTCCTCCTCCTGCCAGAAAGGCCAGGATTTTTGTCTCATGAACTGTGTGGTCCACATATGTACCGTCACATGTGGACATGCTGTGTGTGTTGCGGGGCGTGTGTGTGTGTGTGTGTGGAGATAACACACACTGCTGTCTGCCAGGACCCAGCAGGGTCTTGCCACCTTCCTTTGATTTGTAACTAGAAGGGCAGTGATTCCCAACCCCTACCCCGCGCTGTGTGAAGACCCTGCACACTGGGGCGTGATCGTGTGCACTTGGCCCTCAGCTTTTCCCCACCGGTCTCTTCAGGGAGTGGGTTCTCCACGTGTGGCCAGGCCCGTGCTTTGCAGAGTGGTCTGTCTTCTCACCTCACGAAAGTGAGTATCGCTGGTGCTGCACTTCTGAGACTTGGAATCGTTTTCTAAAGGCAGCAACGCCGGGTGGGATCAGCATGCTTAGGAAAGGTCAAAACACCCCGAGTGCCGGCTGACACCAGCAACACCCCTGGGCCTGCGTGCTCCACCTGGTGGTGTCGCTGCGAGCTGATCTGTGGTCGCTGTTCTCAGTTGTTCTCCTGGGACCTGTGACTTATGCCACGACAAACTTAACTCTTCCATAAGTCTCTTCTGAGAAGGATTTTGGTCTGTTCTTTGTCTCTTAGAAAAGCAAGTAGGTCAGACATGTGTTTCCATGACGACCTAGTCTCTTCCCCCGCCCCCAGCGTTTACCCTGAGAATCGAGTCCTTGTTCTCACCAGCACCCACACTCACCTGCTGTGTCACTGTGCCTGCGGAGCCCTAGGGACCCGTGCCTGCGGGCCGGCCTCGCGACCTCACGGCAAGAGCTCGGGAAAGCCCAGCGGCATCGTCGGAAGGTGGGACCCCAGGGGCAGCAGGTGCCGTCGGAGCCCCGACAGGGACGCACACGCAGGAGACGTGATGCCAGTGACGGCAAGATACTCAAGTGCAAAGAGGGGAGGACTTGGGCCCCGGCCTGGCAGGAGTGTGCCGAGCATCTGCCCTGTGGCCGGCCTTGCCCTGCGGTGCCGAGCGACTCACCTGCCCACAGAGCCGGCCCAGCACCTTGGCTGCTCCCACTTCACCCAGCCTCTTGGCAGCTGGGATCTGTGTTTCTCTTCCTGATGAGCCGACACCTTCTTGGTCTTCCTGGTTCAGAGCCCACACTCCACGTCTTACTCAGCCCATGGTCACCCCATTCTGTGCACGTGTGTGTGCGTGTGCACCTGTGTGTGAGCAGAAACCCCTGGGGCACACATGGGCGGTCCCATGAGGGGTCTGGCTCCATCTGCTCTGGGGCGCCCCCTGGTGCTGGTGTCACCCTTGGGTGCTCTGCACTGTCCACGGGAGTGCCCGCGTGGGTCTGGGGCCACCGGCCACAGCAAGGCTGACCTGCGTCTCTCCGCAGGAAGCAGGTCCTGGGGACCAAGGTGGACGCAGAGCGGGATGGCGTGAAGGTACCCACCACGCTGGCTGAGTACTGCGTGAAGACCAAGGCGCCAGTGCCGGACGAGGGCTCAGACCTCTTCTATGACGACTACTACGAGGATGGCGAGGCTGAGGCCGACAGCTGCTTCGGGGACGATGAGGATGACTCAGGCACCGAAGAGTCCTGACACTACATCCCTGCGAATAAACTTACAAATTTTACCTCAGCCGCCCGACTGTCTGCCGCCGCCACTACCTCCGGGCGCTGCGTGGCCCGGCGCCGTCCACCCCATCTCCGCCTCCAGGGAGGCTGCCGGGCTCACGTACCTGGGCCCCACGTGGGCCAGACGCTGCTCTGGGACCCTAACCTGCCTGCCCCGCCTGGCAGCCAGAGACTCAGGGTCCCGGCTTGTGAGTGGACGGACTGACTCGGGGTACCTCTTCTCTCTGCTTTGGTTTGTTTGGAATCTAAATAAAGCAACTTTATGAGAAGCCGGAGGACCAACCTCTCCTTGGCCTCAAGGTCAGTGGGACCCAGGCAAGGGCACAAGCTCTAGTGACGGGCACGTAATCCACAACGGGAGACTTCAGCTGCCCCTCTGAGCCTGGACGTTCCCAGGGCCTCCTGTTGGATCATCTGATCAGGGGGAGGGGCCCCAGGGACCTGGGCTCTGGGCAGGAAGGGCCCCGGGGGCACACTTGGGGCTGAGAGGCCCTGGGGGTACTGATCCCCACTTCCTGGGCAATGTCACCCGTGCTGGTGGTGTCCAGGGCTGTGTGGCCTTTGAACTCAGTAGGCGCCGGTGCCCAGGCTGTAGGAGCCACCAGCCAGTGTGGAGACCCCAGAGCCCTCAGCAAAGGCCTCCAGCCAGGCTTTGTCACTGCCCATTTTGTAAATAAAGTTTTATTGGAACAAAGCCACACACACACATTTAGCTGCTTTTGAGCTGCAGCTTTAAAGCTTGAGTGATGGCAACACAGCCTCTGTGTCAGAAGTCAGAAACACTTCCTGGCTGTTTATCGGAGCATCTGCAATCTGCCATAACCCTCAGGCCTGTGGGTCTAGCCCCTCTGTTCCTGGGACCCCTTCCCCCTGCCCCCAGGCTTTTGCTGCCATGTAATGACGGCCCCAGACTCAGCATTCACCCTGCTCCACACTTGGCTCGTGTGTGTTGGGGGTTCACCCTCCATCACTGAGGTGACCAGAGCCTCAGGGCCTGGAGAATGAGAGCCCGGCGTCCGGACAGGTTCCACCACCTGAGTGACCTGGCACCGTCACCTCTGCACAGGACAAGCGGGGGCAGGTATGAGCCTGGAAGCTGTGGGAAGGGACATGGGCTGCCCTCCAGAGAGTGAGGCTTGTGGCCAGGGTCCACACGACTGACCAAGGCCTGGCAGTCCTGTCCTCCTAACCGGGGTCTCATCTCAGCATTGGGTCTGCCTTGTGAACTTTAGGTAAACATGTAATGGGATACATGGAATAAAGGTTATCCCACGTAATGTCTGGGACTTAATTGTACCAAAAAGTTACTTGTGTATCTGAAACTCAAATATAAGCTGTTACCCTGTTTTTTTTACCTGGTAAATCTGATGAACAACCCCCTCTCCCAGCCCCAAATACTAACAAAACCTGCTTCCTGGGGTCATTAGGAGGATTAAACAAGGTTGGACATGTGAACACACTATAAATACCCATTTCTCTTAAACCTAACTCTGGCCTCAAACACCCTCCTATGGGAAATGGCTCCAGAGACTTGTGTGCCAGACGCTACTGAAGGAGAGGTGGACAGTAGGCCCCTGCTGCAGAGCCAGTACCAGGATGAGCCTGTCTGCCTCTGTGACCCATTTTTCAGCCAAGTCATATTTATCCCGACCCTTTGAGTATCACAGGAGAGGAAAACCCGATTCACACTGACTCAAGTGTGACTTCCATGACTGGCGGGCAGGGGTTTCAGGCACAGCACTGGCTCCAGCCCAGACTCTTGTCTTCCCTCAACCTGTGGTCAGCAGAAGAGCAGCTACAAAAATGTCCATGCCCTGAGCCCCAGCATCTGTGTCTATAGACTGGAAGGGCAGGAAATGATTCTCCTCTGGAACCCCAGAAGAACTGGCCTGGCCCACATGTGGATGTTTGCCCCAAGAGAGAGTAAATGCATGTGGCTTCAGGCACTGAGCATGTGGTCAGCTTCCTCCCTGTAGTCAGCTTCCTCATTTTCAGGCAGATGCCTCTCACCCTGGTCCCACCCCCAGGCTGGTATCTTCCCAAGTCCAGCAGCGTGAAAGCTGTTTCTGGAAAGTTCCAGAAGAAACATGGGCCCTCGTCTTCACTGAGCTGGTGCAGTGTTTAGATTGGTCCTCTGCCCAGAACCAGTCTCTATGGCCAGAGGGTATAGGGAGTGCTGATTGGCTGGTCTGGGTCCCATGGTGTTGAGGGCTGCAAGGAGAAGGGTGGACTGAAGGAGGGAGGATCCAGATGAGCCTGGCTAGGACCCTTAGACTTGCAGGAGCCCCAGAGCGCTCATAACAAATGAGTGTTCATACCATCTTTGTTCATAATAGCCAAAATCTAAAAGACCCCAGATATCCATGGACAGATGAAGGGGTAAACATACAGATGATGGATAAATACAATGTGGTCCCTCCACACGCTGGAATATTATTCTGCCTTTAAAAAGAAAGATTCTGACACCAGCTAAACCATGGATGAACCTTGAGAACATGATAGCGAAACAAGATCCAGAAGGACACACACTGATTCCACTCACAGGAGGTCCCTTTAGGAGTCAGATCCAGAGACAGGAAGTATTTGGTGGGGCCACAGGCTGGGGGTGGGACTGGGGAGTCAGTGTTTCATGAGGACAGAACTTCAGTTTGGGAAGATGAAGTTCTGGAGATGATGGTGAGGGTGATCCCATGACAACGTGAATGTACCTAATGCCATGAGCTGTGCATTTAAATACAGTTAGGATGCTGCATTTATGGTGTGTGTATTTTGCCACAATGAGACAACAGGGCAAGGAAATTATCGAGCTGAAACCACACAACACCACCAGTGAGCTGGGAGGTGGAACATGATGGGATAATAGATGCTCAATAGGGTTTCCTGTAAATTTTTCAGGTGTGATCATGGTGATGGGGTTTTGTCTCCAAAGAGTGCATATCTTTCAGAAACACTTGGGGGTGATGTGGAATCAGCCAGAGCTGTGAATGTCACCTCCCTCCCCCACAGGAAGGTTGGGTGTGAACTGTGCAGGGGCTCGGGGCCAGAACCGTGGAGGCCCCCGATCTGAGATGCTGCTCCTGCTGATGGTCCTGGAAGCCCTGTGGGCAGGTGAGTGAGGTGGGGACACTGAGGCCGGAGCTGCGGCACCCGGGGCCCATGGCAAGGGGCAGGGCAGGGGGGTGAAGGAACAGAGACTGGATACAATTTCCCTGTCCCCAGACAGGACTCACTGAAAACATGTCAGTGGCCCCCAGAGCACGAGATGGCTGTCCATGAAACAGCCTCGAAAAGAGATTGTGGGGAAAGCAAAGAGCAAAGGGCCAAGGACACCCGCCATCCTGGGGGTTTCTATTCTGAGCCTGTTCCCCTTCGATGAAATATTTCTGGAAGGAGGCTCCAGAGCAGGAAGCGGGGTGGCAGGGAGGGAGCTTCACTTTCCTCCAACAATATTTTTTAAAAAATTTAAAATGGGGTGGGGGACTTCCCGGGTGGTCCCCTGGTTGGGACTCTAGGCTTCCACTGCAGGGGACATGGGTTTGATTCCCTGGTCAGGGAAATAAGATCCTGCAAGCCATTCAGGATGGCCAAAAATTTTTAAATTAAAAAAAAAAAAGAATAAATTAGAAGTTTGGAATTAACAGATACCACTATATATTAAGGGTTTCCCAGGTGGCTCAGTGGTAAAGAATTTGCCTCCCAATGCAGGAGACACAAGAGACGAGGGTTTGATCCTTGGGTTGGGAAGATCCCCCAGAGAAAAACTGGCAATCCACTCCAGTATTCTTGCCTGAGAAATCCTATGGATGTAGGAGCTGGGGGGGCTATATAGTTCATGGGGTCACAAAGAGTCAGATGTGACTTAGTGACTAAATAACCACAACTGTATATAAAACATACAGCAAGATTCTACTTTCTGGCACAGGGTATTACCCAATATCCTGTAATAACCTAAAATTGAAAAAGAACCTGAAAAAGAATATAAATGTGAAAGTGTTAGTCATTCAATCATGTCCGGCTCTTCACAACCCCATAGACTGTAGCCTGCTAGGCTCTTCTGTCCATGAGATTCTCCAGGCAAGAATCCTAGAGTGGATTGCCATGCCCTCCTTCAGGGGATCTCCCTGATCCAGGGATGAATATATATATAATATACATGTATATGTATATTATATATATATAAACTGAATTATATATATATATTATATATATATATAATATATATATATATATGCTATACACCTGAAACTAACACATGGTAAATCAACTATACATCAGTTTTTTAAAAAGTGAAAAAAGCAAAAGCAACCATTTAAAAAAAAAAGGTGTGAAGTGGGTTGCTAACAGTTCGGGGCTTCTTCCTGGGGTGATGGGGACTTGCTGTTGGGGATGGTTTCACAGCTTGGGTGACTGAGGGTCTGTCAGTTTCATCTCCATGTGGTTGTCATGACTTCTTCTGAGTGAGGCCTGAGGGCAAGGGCAAGGCTTGGCAGATGTGAGGTTCTTTTCCTTTCTTGAATTAAAAAGAAAAATGTGTTTATTTTGGCTGCACCGAATCTTTGATGGCACGCAAGATCATCAATCTTTGTTGCAGCAAGCAGGATCTTTAGTTTTGACATGTGAATTCTTAGTTGCTGCATGTGGGATCTAGTTCCCTCACCAGGGACTGAACCCACGCCCCCTGCACTGGAGGTACAGAGTCCTAGCCTCGGCACCACCAGGAAAGTCACCCCATTTTTTTCCTTCTGACTTCTTTCCACTTTTACAGAGATGTCAGGAGAGTCCTGCAGACAACTTTCCTTTTCTCCTCCCTAATCCGTCGGTGGTAAACATTTTGCCTCCATTGTCTTATCATCCCCCCAACCTACCCCACCCCTTGGTGTGCATACAAAATACAAATATGTGTTTATCATTATTATTCTGAACCATTTGAGAGTGAGCTGTAGATGCACTGCCCCTCACCCTTAA